CCCTTTAGCATAATAGTTCAGATTCTACATACTGCATCTACAGGTATACCTCACTTAACAAAGCAGATGTGTTTAAAAAATGCTGCATGTGACATTAGGAACTGATTACTGCAGATTTTAAAACCTAACAACTACTAAATACATTATATTTGCTTGGGTACCTGGCTATGCTCGGATTATTTGAAAAAGGCATTGTTTGTTTTGGGGTGTTAGGTAATATCACTTAGTTAATTAGTAACAGCCCACCTTGAGCCGGCCTTCGGGCTTGAATCGCCTTTGGGCTCAGGAAGGCGGGAAAGAAATACAATAAATAAATAAATAAATATTAGGGAAAAGCCAGTCTTTGATTTTGTTGTTTATGAATGTTCCCACTAGAAAGTGCATAAGGATGTGGGTGAACTACAATTCCCAGAAACATGGGTCAATCCACCCCAAATCAGGCCTCTATGCACAGTTGGCCATGTTGGGTCTGTGTGCCAAGTTTGGTCCAGATGTGACGTTGGCTCAGTTCAGTGCTCTCTGGATGCAGGTGAACTCCCAAATCCAAGGTCATTTCCCACAACTCCTGTAGTATATTCAGTTGGTCACGTGGGTTCCGTGCCAAGTCCCGGTCCAGTGCTCGTGGGGGTCACAGTTTCTCTGCATGCAGGTGAACTATAACTCCTAAAATCAAGGTCAATTCCCACAAACCCCTGCAGTATGTTCAGTTGGCCATCGGGCTTCTCTGTGCCAAGTTTGGTCCCATTCCACTGTTGGTAGGGGTCATAGTTTCTCTGGATGCAGGTGAACTACAGCTCCCAGATTCCCCCAACTCCCCCAAACTCCGCCTGTATTCACGGTTGGGCATGTTGGTCTTGTAGTATATTCAGTGTGCCATGTTTGGTCCAGAGCAGTCATTGGTGGGGTTCAGAGTGCTCTGGATGCAAGGTGAACTATAGCTCCCACACGGGTGGGTCAGTTCCCCACACCCTTTCAGTATGTTCTGTTGGTCATAGGGATTTTATGTCACAAGTTTGGTCCAGGCCTATCATTTGTGGGGCTTGCAGTGGTCTGTGGAAGTGAATGAAGGTACTGCAAATCCCATCATTTGTGGTCCATCCTCCTCCAACCCTTACCAGGACAGAGAAGGGCATTATAGGGAGTCTGTGTGCCAAATGTGGTTCAGGTGTGTCATTCGTGGGGGTTGTAGTGGTTTCTGGAAATTAGTGAAGATACTGCCATTTCCATCGTCCCTGGTCCATCTTCTCCCAAAACTCACCAGGATGCAAAGTACATCATGGAAAGTCTGTGTGGCAAGTTTGGTCTAGGTCCCTCATTCATGAGGGTCATGGTAGTTTCTTCATGTGGATGAAGGTACTGCAAATCCCATCATCCGTGGACCATCCTCCCCCCACCCCCAACCGCACCAGGATGAATAGTGGGTCACGGGCCGTCTGTATGCCAAGTGTGGTTCAAGTCCGTCATTCGTGGGGTTCACAGTGATTTCTGGAAGTGAATGAAGTTACTGCAAGTCCTATCATCCGTGACAAGTTGGTCCAAATCCATTGTTGGTTGAGTTCACAGTGCTCTCTGGATGTAGGTGAATTACAAATCAAGGCCAGTTGCCCCCAAACCTGGTCATGGAGGTTCTGTGTGCCAAATGTGATCCAGGCGGGGATCACAGTGCTATGCCTTGATATAGGGTGAACTACAACCTCCATCCTGTTGAGTCAGTCCCCCAAACCCTTTCAGTTGCTAATCAAGTTCTCTGTTTGCTGTGTGCCATAGGAAAGGGTAGGAACGGTTAAGCGAGAAGCAGTGGGAAGAGTCGTGCAAATGCCACAGCAATTGAGAGAGAAAGGAACCCTGGGATACAGCTCGCTGTAACCTGCAATGTCCTTGGAGGGAGGGCTTTGGTGGCTCCTCAGCACTGGGAACTATAACCTGTGTGTCTCCGCCACATTCACATTTTTCACTTTTATTATGTATATTATTATGTGTATAGATAAACAGATGTTTAAATGTTGTCATTCCTGACTTTATGTTGGTACATGACCTGAATGACTGATCCTTTGAAAACTCATCTTAATTATGCCCAGAAATGTTTTGTTTCCACTGAAATAGCCAGGAATGAAACAGCACACCAGAATTATTTGCCGTCTCATTTCATGTAATAGTAATTTCCACATAATTGTGTATACTAAGCAGTTGAGGTATTCTTACTGTAAAGACAATGATTAAATGCATCAGAACCTGAAGGAACTTTGGAGGAGTGGACGTTTTTTAATACTGAAAGTTTTCCAGTTTTGCTTACATGCCAATTAGGAATAATGTGAAACTGTCTTCTACTGAGTCAGAATATTTGTCTCTCAATTTCTGATATACACATTGACTGGCAGAGATTCTCCAAGGTTTCAGACGTTTTTCTAAGATCTACCTAGAGAGGCAGGGGATTGAATCAGTGACCCTTTTCCATGCAAAGCATGTATTCTCTCCCTCTCACTAATGGGGAAGGAGCACATCATCTGATGATAAGACAAAGAGATATGTGATCGGTTGCTAAGATAATTAACACAGAACTTGTGCATTGCTTTCCTTATGCTATAAGGCAAGAGAAGGAACACAGTGTTCCTTTAGTTATTATTTGACTGCTCCTCCCAGCCTTCCCAAACATTGGCTAGTTTGATATAAGCAGCGGTCCAACATTTGGAGGGTTGCAGTTTGTTATCTATTATACGAGTATAGAAAACAGCAAAGCTGCACCTAGTACAAAACTGTGAAAAGAAAATAACGAGGAAGCAGAATAATGAAATCACTCTGACCCAAGTAACAAGATTCATGTGGAGAACAACGCTTCCATACAGAACTGACAAGAGGACAAAAGCTGCAGGTGAACATCAGGTTTGCATCTGAGTGTGGATGCTATCTCCATTATATTTGTGTGCATTCCCAACTACATTCTTCTGAAAGTACTCACTGTTTTTAAAACTCAACAAAAGCTGGAACAGAGTAACTATTGTTCTGTTGACTAAGCCACTGGAGGAAGTTGACCAATGTTTTCACCCAATGGCACAAATGAACCTTCGTACATTAAATACATATTGAAATAAGCAAGAAAATGAGTTCTGTTGCTGAGGAAATGAGACCAAGGTAGTTGGCCTCTCTGGAGAAAGTAAATACCCACAGGAAATTGACAAAACATTGTCTACAGCAAGGGCCTCTTAAACCCATTTCCACTTTTACGCATTCAAAGCTTTGTTAAGATCACCAAAACAATGACAAATTGTGAGCCTTGCCAGTTTTACCCACAGTTCACTTAAACACTGCTTAAAGGATCAGAATGTAGAAAGCTTGGAAAGAACTCTCACATTTGACCACACTTTCCATACTGCATGATAAAATGTTGTAGTTGGGTATAAAAAAAACCATGAAAATCAATCTTCATATTGAATATCCTTACTATCTCTGCCACTGTGGCAATGATTTTTCCAGGTGTTAAAACAAATGGTGGTAATCATGAAACAAGAATCTATTTGTGATTCGTTGCCATGCAAGTTATGAGCATTAATTATGTCTTACAGCTCCACTTCTTTCTTAATATCTAATTCTTTACTCAGAAAGGCTTCTCTGATCATTCTCCTGGGAAAATGTGAAGGTGTACTTCCCTAACCAGACTGAACAATTTGGCAGCTGGCTCTTTCCTTCCCTTACTGGAAAAAACAATAATCCTATTCCATGAAGTCATTTTGAAGGCATCCCAAACATAAAGCATGAGACAATGTTATTAATTTATTTTGAAGAAGATACATTTCTACTTCTGAAAGGAATGCAATCAACTAAAAGAAAATCACCCAGGACTTCATCAGCTAAGTTCCTTGCTCCGAACTATTTATCGCCCAAAACAGAGTAAAGAGATATTTTTATTTCAGTAAATTACCCAGATTTTGATAATTAACAACCTGCTGCAAGTAAGAGGGAAGACCAACATGTTATGCTTAAGAAAGCACTTTGATACATAATGATACATTATCCATAATTTGATCAATGATCAATAATTTTAAATGACAAAAAGTAACGGTTTCCCCTGACATTGTCTAGTTGCCCGACTCTGGGGGGTGGTGCTCATCTCCATTTCTAAGCAGAAGAGCCAGCGTTGTTCGTAGATGCCTCCAAAGTCATCTGGCCAGCAGGATGGCATGGAGCACCATTACTTTCCTACCAAGGAGGTACCTACTGATCTACTGACATTGCATGTTTTCAAACTACTAAGTTGACAGAAGGTTGGGCTAACAGTGGGAGCTCACCCTGCTCCCCAAATTCGAACTACCAACCTTTCGGTCAGCAAGTTCAGCAGCTCAGTAGTTTAACCTGCTGCGCCACCACGGGGCCCTTTAAATGACAACCTGCTTAGGTCTATCAACTGAAAAATTACATTTGATTTGTGCAACATCTCTTAATTCAAGACTAAGCTAGTTCTTGATTAAGAAGGGTCTAAAACCTGGGTTCTAAGGGGATTCAAAGCTTGATTAAGTGGGAACTTTTGTTAATCTTACCCTTAATTACGACACTACCAATAACAGGTCAAACAACATTTTGCCTTCTCTTGGCCCAAACAGACCTCTATATGATATCTACATTAGCTGAAGCTGCTGAAAGGAACACAAAGAATAGAAAAGACAGAAGCGACTTGAGATGAAAAGGTTTTCTTAATTATCAATTTTTGTTTCTTAATGCAGGAGATTGATTTCAAAACCAAGCTGTTTGGTTCCTTACCTTGGTATTATAGACAAATGGCAGAATATTCCAGAGTTTCATAGATACTATAGTTCTATTACCTGAGAACATGGTAACGTCTACATGCAAAACATATTCTCTTGCACAAGTGAGAAGAAAATGCTTAGTTATGTTCTTAATAAAATAACATTGTGTTTTCAGAATAAAGACCATTTTGCCTTTTGCTATCTTACGAGTAGTATTCATAACACACGGCTTGCCTTCATAAAAACGAAAACCACTCTTACCTGGCTGAAACATGTGGCTTGTTTTCTACTTTCATTACAATTTGTATGTCAGATGGAGAAGACGTTGTGTAAATTTTTAATCTAAAACAAAAGATGTAAGATTTGTTAAATCCTACTTTTTAGAAAGACACAAAGTTTTTATTAAATGGGTGAACTACAAAATGTATGGACTGGTTGGAGAAATGTAACACTTTAGGGCAAACTGCATCACAGATTATTCAATGTCATTTAATAACTGTTTATATTACAAAAAATGTTTGAACAGTAATGTTCAAGTACATACCTCTGACAAATGACAGGATCAGATGCTTGAGGATCGATGTAGGCCTTAAGGATGTCACAGAGTGGTTTATCATCTGGCACCCTTTGAACATGAAGACAGAATGTATCAACAATAAAGGCACAATATTTCCAGAAATAAATAAGCCAGCCCACAATGAACAATCAAAAAACAGATGCATATACAAAACAGCTGAAAGAAACCTGGTGTCTTTTCTCCCTGACCCAATAAACCTTGAGACTAAGATATTCTGCTTTAAATGTCTTCTTCTTACATTAAGCGAAGTACTGTATATACTCTGAGTACAGTAGTGAAAGACAAGAGCTTAGTCCAACTCAGGAAACCGCAAAAGCCCTTAATGTATCCAACATTAATATCAAAATCAAAATGTTGCCCCCTCCCCAACCTACCCTTGACTTATACATGTGTATATACAGTAAATATAAATTTTAAAACATGCTCTACATCCTTACACATGTTCTAATTTTCTGCTCAACTTTTTTAAGGTAAAATAATGTTGTGGGGAAAGAGCACTAACGAAGTGGTGGTATTTACTAGGCATGTATGGAAATAGGGACATCAAACACAAACAAATAAAAGAAGCTTGAGGGAAATGCAGCTTTAAGATGGTTCAGTTACATCTGCAAAGACCTCCAGGAAGGAATTTCAAATCTGTATACATATATATTAGACCAGTGATTCTCAATCTTTTTTTTCCACCAGGGACCACTCTCCAACATTAGTACCAAAAGGGTTACGAATCAGTTTTTGGTCAACTTTAGATTCGGCTTGATTATTTGGGGTGCTGATTCAGAAAACTGCATTGGATAGACTGCATCAGCTCTAATTTCTGATACAGAACATATGCCACCCAGTAGTCATCATGTGCTAGCCCACAGAAACCATATTTAAGAATCTAGAGCTGATGTGGTAGTAGTAATCTTTCATGAGTAGTCAGCCTCTCCCTTCCCGACATCCCTGTTGCCTCGGCCCTATAAGATGGTTTCGTGAGACCAGTCGTTCTCATTGCCGCGTGGTTTCAAGGCAACGGTGTAATAATGGTGAGACCACAGACCATATTTTCGTTCTTGGGGACTACTGGTGGTCCACAGATCACTGATTGGGAACCACTGCATGAGACCCCCAGTTAACCGAAATTAAAGCAACCAACAAAAAATGAAAGAATTATTTAAATACCTCCCTTCCCCCATTTTTATAATACAATAAAACAGCAAAACTGTGTTATATTAAGTTAAGTTTGTCTTTATTTGCTTTTAATTACTGTATTTCAATATTAATATCAAGCCAATACAGAGTTATAATATGGAGTATAGTATTACTTAGGTCTATTTTTAATAAGAACTATGAACTCTCACCAGAAACTATGTTTATTCAGTATCTACCAATCTCCATGGCTGCCGGTTAACTGAGAGTCTATTGTATAAACATATATACACAGATTCAGTTTATTGTTCACCCCAAAGCGATGACAATTATTTCAAAACAAAATCCAAAAAATGTCCAGTGCAATACAGAGACAAATAGGTAATTTTCACAAAAAAGAAATTATGCAAGAAAAGTCTGAGGTACCTTTTTTCTGTGAATTTAGCATGACTGTGAGGAAAAATGAGCTTCAAATGCCAGAAGAACTTTTGTTCTCTGAAATAAAACCAAAGAAACTTTTAATTCTTTGTCACATGAACTATTAATTACAAACACAGTCAAGTAGTTGTTAAGGCTCTATTGCAGACAGTCCTAAGTGGACAGGAAGATGGACAAAACATCAGTGTCATTGTAGAGGGCTTATTCACCTGATCTCTTCTGCAGGTAACAAAGCTCTTAAATCATTTCCAGCAATATCGAATTTGTTTACTTAACCAAGACTTAATCCAATATTGAGCAAAATGAATGGGTCCAGGATGGTTGCAAACAAAACAGTTCATCTACTCCTATACATTTAAAAGCCTTACAACTTGCTGCTTTCTTGATATTTAAGATTTTACAATACATCCCTTTGTATCAAGTTTAAATGGATACTGATTTGTATTGGATTGTGAGGATATTGTATTGTTTTCTTTCTTAAGGACAATGAAACATACACCAAATAATGTTCAATTTAAAAGCACAGTAACAAACACAACGTTTTGAAATATTTACATTAAAGATCAAGGAGTATGATTGGCTAGTATGAAATATGGTATATTCAAACCTTGTAAGGAACAAGGTTTGAATATACCATATTTACTCAAGTTTAATGCTCCTTTTTTGATTACATTACTTCGCTAAAATTGAGATGTGCATTAGACTTGATGGTGCATTAAGATCACACACCTAAACCTGCATGCGCTGACAGACAAGAGATCCCAGCTTGAGGATAGGGAAAGGCAGTTGTGGCCATGAAAAGGCTGATGGGAAGCTGCACCCCTCTGCCTGGCCTTCCCATCAGCCTTTTTGTGGCCACCACCTCCCATTACATTTGACAGCAAATCCTTTTTTGTCCTGCACACCTTCAAAATTGAGGTGTGCATTATATTCCATGATGCATTATACTCAAGTAAATACGGAAATTGTAAAAACCATTTTCAGAAGAAAACGAACAAGAGTTTGGAGGAGTAGGAGGGACTAGGTTAGAAGTAGGACCAGGACAGATACTAAGATATGACCAAGACAATAGAATCATAGAATCATCAAGTTGAAAGAGACCACATGGGCCATCTGGTTCAACCCCCTGCCACCCAGGAAAAGCACAATTAAAGCAATTCCAACAGATGGCCATCCAGCCTCTGTTTAAAAATCTCTACAGAAGGAGCCTCCACCATACTCTGAGTCACAGAGTTTCACTGTTGAACAGTTCTCACAGTCGGGAAGTTCTTCCTAATGTTCAGGTGGAATCTCCTTTCCTGTAATTTGAATCCATTGCTCTGACTCCAAGTCTCAAGGACAGCAGGAAACAAGTCTGCTTCCTCTTCCTTGTGGCATCCTTTCAGAGATACAAACATGGTTATCATGTCTCCTCTCAACCTTCTCTTCTGAAGGTTAAACATACCCAGCTCTTAAATCCGCTCTTCATAGGGCATGGCATCCAGACATTTGATCATTTTAGTCGCCCTCATCTGGACAATATGCAGAGGAGTGGCAGGAAGAAGGTTTTTGAGTTCATGAAAGTAAAAATATGAAAGAAAGGACTGACATTTGGGGAGAACATCCAAAATTGGCCCACCGTGTCATTTAATGTGGCCCAGCAGGCTTTTAATGCCAGGGCAACGTTGTTACATTTATAAAGTCTTACAGTGACAACCTGCTCTTTGAAGGCATCTGTAAAACAGATGTGGCAGTCAATGAAAATGAGTTAAACACCCTGAGCTACATTAAGGAGTAGGACTAAGAGCTTAAACTACTGTCCTCAAAATGTTGCATGGGCAAGACCAGGATTCTATAATACTTTGTCATCTATCATCACACTAGAGAAAAAAATCCACTTCAAATCCGTCCTCCTGCAGAATTCTGGGGTTTGTAGTTTAGCGAGGAACCTTTAATAGCCTCACTAAACTACAAACCCTAGAAACCTGCAGGAGGCAAAAACCAGATTTTATGTTGATTTTTTCTGTACCCTTCTGTCAGCAAAACAAGTAAGCTTAAGCAAGGGACAGTGAACAAACAGCAAGAGCAAGGTAATTTGCATCTAATGTCCATATTGCTGTCTTCTTTGTAAACCACAGATGGAAAACACGTGACCATCCAGATGTTCTTGCACTGCAACTCCCAACATTCTTCCTCATCAATATCAAAATCCATGGATGCTAAGTCCTATTATATACAAAGGTAATGTAAAAAGGCTGTCCCCAAGGTAAAATTACCATAGACTGTCAAACATTTAAAAAATGAGTCTGAGCGTTACTTCTCTGAATTCTCATTAGAAGTTAAAATGACTAAAGTGAAGAGATCATACTTTCGATACAACATGAGATTACACAAAAAGATGGGAAAATGGTGATGCTTGATAAAATCAAAGGCATGATGAGGAAAAGAGGTGGACTATATTACAGATGGATTGATTCAATAACCTTGAATCTGCAAGATGTAAGTAGAGCTGGAAATGGTCTTACATTCAGGGATCTGACATAAGATGAAGGCAACTTGATGAATGGCAGCATAAATAACAAAAGAAGTTATGAAAAATAAAAATAAAAAGTGGAAAGTTTTGGAAAATGTAATCAGAAGTTATGAATGTCAAGTGTTGCATTCAAACGAATCTCAAGCAATGAAAAATAATGGTAAAATAATTATAAATGAAGTCATCCTATATTCTACTGACTCATGACTTGTTTAGGTTAATAAAGGTTTGATTCATACCTTTATCATACACAACACATCTGTTATTTAACCAATTTATTCATAAGTCGGTGGTCTTTGTTGCAGGAAATATTGCTCAGTCAAGGTTAAAGAGCAATAGGGAAACCACAGGAATGGGATGTTTTTATTCCTCAAACATAATTGTATGTTAATGTTCAGAACTGTACATTCTTTTAAAAAGTAAGAGGGTAGGCTATGAGGCAACATTTTCAAATGAAAATTATGTTCTCAAAAACCACTGCCCTGACTTTAAATATACAGCCTACTGATGAAATGGCCCAAATTTCTACATAACCTTGTTACATACTAACAGAATGGAAGGAAAGACTAGAATTGGAGATAAGGACAAGGTGAGGCAGCTTTGATTCCTCAGCCACAAGGAACTGAAGTATGGCTTAAACTATTTTTGCAGTAAACTCATCCCTGCAATGTTTCTATTTCTCCTAAATCTCTATAAACAACTGTTTCAGCATAAATACATGATTGTAGCCTCCTGTGAAATTCTTGGAATCTCATTAAGGTAAACAAATGCGGAGGCCTTATGACACACAAATCACTGATGTGCAAATAGGACATAGTTAAAGTTCTAACAGTACAAAGCATGTGTATCCACATTTAATGAAGCTTAGTTAAGTGTCACTAGGTACCCAGCAGAGATCGTATATATAAGGATGTTTTAACTTTACTACACGTTCACCTATTTCTGAAAAATAGGGACATTTTCACTGTATACTTATGGCCTTCTACTAGGAGGTCTCAGAACAGCAGGAACTCGGCATATGTACTGTAATATTCATATTAAGCAGAATTAGAGGATGCCTCCAAGGTGACTTAACATTCCTAAAATTTTTCAAACATGTCACTAAACACTAATTAAGAACATCAATTATCCTTCTAACCCATCTTTGTGAAACAGATGGAAATGCTACATTGGTATGCACCAGACAACAGACAAGTACAGTATATTCTGGCGTATAAGACTACTTTTTAACCCAAGAAAATCTCCTCAAAAGTCAGGGGTCGTCTTATACACGGGTGTACTCTTATGCATGGGAGTCGTCTTAACTCTATATTTTAACTGGAAAAGTTGGGGGTCGTCTTATACGCCCAGTCGCCTTATATGCCGGAATATACGGTATTTTAAGATTTCTGCAGCCAGGATAAAATGCACAATTCTAAGGCTCTAACAACAATTTATTCTAGCTCAGTATCTAAATCAACATGAATTTAATCAAGGTTGTTGTCCTAGGCTTTAATCAACTTTTTAGAAACATGTTTGTAATAATAACTGTAACAAGACTACATGAGACATGAATAGATTGATAATGGATTTAAAAAACTCTACTTTTTAATATATTTCTTGGTGCGTCCTTTACTGCAGTGGTTCTCAACTTGTGGGTCCCCAGATGTTTTGGCCTTCAACTCGCAGAAATCCTAATAGCTGGTAAACTGGCTGTGATTTCTGGGAGTGGTAGGCCAAAACATCTGGGGACTCACAGGTTGAGAACCACTGCTTTGCTGCTATTAGTAGTGCATACATTTTTATTTCACAATGGAGACAGTGTTTGATTGGAATATTAAGAAATACTTATTTTTCTTTTCTAGCCATTTACATGTATACTATAAATGACTATATATTATTGAAATATAATGTAGGGATTTATATTAACTTAGTAAAACTGGTGCAAGTGGGTCCAAGTCTCAAGATATATTTTAGCCTAGTTGCTAGGAACGAGGGACTGCTCGTTATATTTCTAGAAGAGAATAAATAAATAAATGCTTTGTGGAATTTGAGATTAGAATGAAACGGGTTTTTTTTAGGACGAATGCCTGAACTATCTTTTATAGTCTAGATGTTAAAGTCAGACAACATTTCCACATTTTTTTTCCTGATACTTTATATTCATAGTTTGGTTCCAGTATTTCAGAAGGTTCAACTTAGGGCCTTTCCACAGAGCCATATAATCCAGAATATCAAGGCAGGAAATCCCACAGTATCTGCTTTGAACTGGAATATATTGCAGTGTGGACTCAGATAACCCAGTTCAAAGCAGATATTGTGAGATTTCCTGCCTTGATATTCTGGGTTATATGGCTGTGTAGAAGGGCCCTCAGAAGCAGCAGTTCTAAAGTCTGGCTTACTATTGCTTAGGGAACTTGCTTAAAATTGCTCATAAGCTCACTGTTTGCTAATATTTTGCAAGAGAGACATCTACTGGTTTACAGTTGAAATGTCATATTTCCTTTCTACTGCTAGCTGAAAGGAACAAAATGGAATAAAGTAGTCTTCCTTTCACTGCACCACCAAAAGATTATCACACCAAAATTTATGATCCCAGCCCTCAACAAAATTAATCAAATACTCACGACAAAATCAAATATTTAATTCAAAGTTGGCAAAGTAAGATATATTTGATTCCAAGAAGGATTATTCCCTACACATCTCTAATAGAAGTACAGTCAGTCCCCCAGTTACAAATATCTGACTTACAAATGACACATAGTTAAGAATGGGGCTGAGACAACAGGGAGTGAGAGAAATCAACCCCTAGGAAGGGGAATTCTCCCCTGAAAGAGTTATTATGAGAAAAAGGTGTCTCACCAGAAGCTTTTTCACCTATCCTTATTTCCACAACAAGCCATTTTTTTTCTCTAAATTTAGTTATCACAGGGACAGAAAGTGAGGCGAAATCTTCTGAACAGGGGCACAGACAGCAAAACAACACCACAAGAGTGTTAACCTTTCCCTATGCTATCCAAAGCTAAAAATATTTATTTTTAGCTGGAGTTACACTTAAAAAATGTTCCTGTTCTGACTTACATACAAATTCAACTTAAGAACAAACCTACAGAATATATCTTGTTCGTAACTTGGGAACCGCTTGTATTACATTTGTGAAAGTTGATTTATATTTTGACTTGAAAGCTACATGTGGTCAGATTCAACCCCTTTCTAGAAACATTACAGAGGATGACATGCGGTGGAAAGATGGCATGCACTACAAACAAACCCGACTTCACTTCCCCAATGTTTCTATCTTGCATGCAGATGTGATGCCACTGACAAGCTCATGCCGCTGCTGATTCTCACCACTTCCGACATCTTCCCTACTGCAACTACATAATAACTTACTCTGCTCTGAAGTGAAGGAAACAGAATCAAATGGACGTTTCCCTTCTGCCACCAGGCACTTGTTTGTCTTAGGTTTTCCAGACACTGTTAATCTTGACAATGACATTTAGAAAGAGATTTAATACCTGGGACCTAGAAATTATGTACTGTATCCTGCCACATATTTCCATTTTACTTATTCTAGCAAAAACAAGTTAAATGAACTTCTGGTTGTTATACATGGTTGATAAGCTTGTTTGGAATTTTTGGAGACCAAATTTACACCATACACATGGCAATGCAGCCCTATAGTAATATTTACTATAAACATACTTCTTGCTAAAAACTGTAGAATTCTCACGCCTTTTTGTGAATCCAACCGGCAAAGTCTGTAGGTGGATGTTGTGCCTTCGAGCCCGATTTTTCAAGAAGTTTACCTGATGGGAAGAGCAAGAATGTTTTAAAAGGTGGGAGAAAGGAATTATTGACATTATGAAACTCTAAAACACTTGCCTTGTACACACTTTAAACATCACCTTTAATTGTGCAGTGAGGTTACAAGAAGTCTGGAAATGTTCGTTCCCATCCTAGGTGAACCATGGTCTGCCATGTTGTTACTGGCTACTTTTAACTTTGGCTTGTTAACTGTAACAAAGTCTGAACCACAGTATATGGCGCTATCTTGTTTCAGCAAACCACAGAATCAAAGAGTTGAAAAAAGATCACAAGGGTCATCCAAGCCAACCCCCATTATGCAAGGACACCATAATGAAGAAGATTTCATTTAGGATTTGGTAAACAAAGCTAAACAGTGGTTGATCTAATACAGAAACAAATGCCTTTACATGACATTCATAGAGGCCTGAGGCTTCCTCTCATATTAGCCATGATCTAGATTTTGATCAGGATGAAGCCAAAATGAACAAATGAACAGTGAGAAATGTTCTAAAAACCTGCCTCTAGGTAAATCTTGGAAATATTCACAAACATATAATGGCATGCAATAAAAAGGAGATCGATTAGTTAGCAGAACACATCATGCGATGTGCGGGGCTGGATGAATGCAAAGCTGGGGTGAAAATTGCTGGAAGAAACATTAACAACCTCAGATATTCAGATGACACCACTCTGATGGCCGAAAGCGAGGAGGAGCTGAGGAGCCTTCTAATCAAGGTGAAAGAAGAAAGCGCAAAATGGTTGCAGCGAAACATAAAAAAAACCAAGATTATGGCAACAAGAATGATTGACAACTGGAAATAGAGGGAGAAAACGTGGAGGCCATGACAGACTTTGTATTTCTAGGTGCAAAGATTACTGCAGATGCAGACTGTAGCCAGGAAATCAGAAGACGCTTACTTCTTGGGAGGAGAGCAATGTCCAATCTCGATAAAATAGTGAAGAGTAGAGACATCAGACTGGCAACAAAGATCCGCCTAGTCAAAGCCATGGTATTCCCTGTAGTAACCTACGGATGTGAGAGCTGGACCTTAGGGAAGGCTGAGCGAAGGAAGATCGATGCTTTTGAGCTGTGGTGTTGGAGGAAAGTTCTGAGAGTGCCTTGGACTGCGAGAAGATCCAACCAGTCCATCCTCCAGGAAATAAAGCCCGGCTGCTCATTGGAGGGAAAGATACTAGAGACAAAGTTGAAGTACTTTGGCCACATCATGAGGAGACAGCAAAGCCTAGAGAAGACAATTATGCTGGGGAAAGTGGAAGGCAAAAGGAAGAGGGGCCGACCAAGGGCAAGATTGATGGATGGCATCCTTGAAGTGACTGGACTGACCTTGAGGGAGCTGGGGGTGGTAACGGCCGACAGGGAGCTCTGGCGTGGGCTGGTCCATGAGGTCACGAAGAGTCGGAGACGACTGAACGAATGAACAACAACAGTCCAGATCATTTTGCACAAATCGGAAACTTAATAGGCACTTAATATAACTATATAAAAATAATGGTAAGTCTCAAACTACATTGTTACCTAGAAGCAAATCCACTGATTTCAGTTGGTTGTATACTTCAGAAAAAATACCTAGAAGTGCAGCTTATGATCTTGCGAAGGGGTTGCCCCACTTCAAAGAAAAGGGGTTTCAGGAGAGAGAACTTTCGATTTATTATTTATTATCCTTAATGGTGCCACCAATTTGTGATGTGAGGTAATTTTGGGAGATTGGGCACACTGAACGCAGAATTAATGGAGATGAGGCAGTTTTACAATCAAAGAGAACAAGTTTATTTTGAAACAAAGCGTATGGTTGCAGTTTGGTGATAAACTTGGAAAATACTTGGAGAACGTTACATATAACTTGGTTGCGATACAGTTCAGTCTTCTGATGTTACAACTTATCAATAACCTTTGCTGTGGTGAAGCACTTTATTAAACAATGGTTCCTGAGGTGAATAGTCTTCCTGTTTGATCCTTCCGTGATCAAACCTCAGATCTCTAGTTCACTTTTAACTAGTGATCTAAACAAGCTTCTATTAGTCTTCTCTAACTAATGAAACTAATAAGGTTTCCCCTTCAGCCTTCCTAAACTGAAGAAACCTCTGACTATTCACAAACACTGCTTCTCTACTTCCCACTCTCTCTCTCTCAACACTTCATTTCCCTGAGCCTAAAACCTGACTCTTCATTCCTCTGAGCCTAAACCCCCAACTGACTTTAACTGTCGCTTTTTCAAAACTCTCCTCTCTAAGCTCCTCCCACTTCTCTACAGCATCGTTTCCATGGTAACACACTCCTCACAGCTAGGCCGCTCCAGCATTAGGGCAACCAGTGCAAACACAAATACAGTTATAACCATATCATTTACAATCAACTTCTGTACAGATCTTAATTTTTTTAAACTACATTTTAGCTATTAGATTTATGTGTTACTAAAAATACGTACACACTGTGCAGTAAACATAATCCTTAGATTCAAAAGCAAAACTCTAATTGACGCTATCAAAAATACAGGAAAGTGTTGTGTCTTGTGTCTGTAAATGAGAAATGGCTCCCACCATCCACATCCAAATTTCACCATATCTTTAACTACTTTTGTTCAATGTAATTCTGTTGACTTTCTTCTGAAACATCAAACACTAAGCTTTGCACCTGAAGAGTTATATTTAAGCAAAATCAAAATGTGTCCACCACTCTCCAGTCTATTTTCTCAACATTAAAGCGATCTGAGGAGACACTGCTTCAGATCTTAACTTTTGACCATACAAATATTGTCAGACTTCAGTTCCCAACTGTTTCAGTTGCTGAAGCGATGAAGCGAATGGAGATGAAAACTGCAGTCCATTAATAAATGGAGGGTCACAAGTTACCCATCCATAACTTGGAAGAAATAGAGATATAGAGCAAGCATTTTCCAAACAGTGTAGTAGCCTATGGGCAATATTTCCTATATTACTTATTATACACAATCTTTATGCCCATTGAAAGCTAGAAGATAGCAATAGCCAAACTGTATCCCAATATATAAAGATTATTTGGAGATTACAATACTGATGCAACTGGTAGCGAAAGTGGTGGTGATGAAATCTAAGTTCTAAAAACACTGAAGTTCATGTCCTGATTTTCTAACATCCAAGAGAACACTGTCACATAGGGTTCTTTCAAACTGAAATTTGATGTGATGGAAACATTCCTTTTAAATGAGTCTTCATCAGAATTGTTCCTGAACTTCTTCAGATACAAGAAGTTACAGCTCCCCAATGAAGAATAAAATTGAAGATATAAACAATAACCACTAAGTGGACACAACTCTTCTTCCAAAAAGAATGCTGTTACTTTTATTCTCTGTAATACAGGACACTGTTGTATTTACTCTTTTTAAGGTCTTTCTAATTGGATCTGAAAGGCAAACATTTTTAAACTGCTATAAAAATGTGTAATGGCTGCTAGGCTTGAAAGTTCAAGAAAGAGATGATCTTGAAAATGGAACAAGCATTAATCACAAAATGTGCCCTCTCTAGAGGTAAACACGGATGAAATAACATTTATCTGCGAATTTACAAATACTAACACAAAAAGAGCTGACTAGGGAATGGGATGGGAAATGTCATCAGAATATGAGCAACTACAGATATTGCCTGAAAAAGACGTTTCACCAATGGCACCAAAATCTATGGTCATCAATGATATTAAAATATATAGGTAGAGAAGAATACAATTTGCGAAAATAGGCATGGATGATTACGTAGGAATGTATTATATACAGAGGGAAGCATTCAGCCAATAAGGTAGTAGCCTTTTTAACTTGTATATAGATTTGTTTGTCTTGTCTGTCGATTTGTCTATGTTGCAAAACTTTTTTCCATAAAAATAAATTATAAAAAAAAAAAAATGGTCTTTAATGGTCTTGTGGGAGTTGGCATGGAGGAGCAAGTACTGGGAATCAGATAAGCCATACTGTGCAGAAAGTTTGTTTTCTGCTGCGGGCACTCCGGCGAGGAGGCCGTTGTGGCAAAGAAGGACAATGTAGTTCCAAGCAACACTGTAACTCTCATAAAGGACAGTAGGCCTTTGGTGTCTGCTGGAGTTTGGTTCCAGGACCCACCATGGATACCAACACCAGTGGATGCTCAAGTCCCATTAAGTAAAGATAAAGATTCCCCCTGACATTAAGTTTAATCATGTCTGACTCTGGGGGATGGTGCTCATCTCCATTTCTTAGCCAAAGAGCTGACGTTGTCCACAGACGCCTCCAAGGTCATGTGGCCTGCATGACTGCCTGGAGTACCATTACTTTTCTGCAGAAGCAGTACCTATTGATCCACTCACATTTGTGTGTTTTTTAATTGCTAGATTGGCAGAAGCTGGGCCTAATCCGCTCCCTGGATTCGAACCTCCAACCTTTTGGTCAGCAAGTTCAGCAACTCAGAGGTTTAATCTGCTGCGTCACCAGGGGGCCATTAAGTCTCACTACCATAACAAAATGGTACCCCCTTATATGAAATGGAAAAATCAAAGTTAAAAAAAAACATTTCCAAGGTATGAATGACCAAATCTGTAGATGTAAAATCTGTGGCTATGGAGGGCTGATTTTACACCAACAATAGAATGGGGGGATAATAGAAGGAACACATATTACAAAACTGGATCTTGATTGAGGTGTCACTATAGCTGGCCATTTTGCCCATTTCTTTAGCTGAACAACCTAGTATATTCCACCTGCTTCAGACAGCAACTTTCAAATTGTCTGACCCCTGCACATGAGAGTTGTAGTACAAATCTTCTAAAGGGCACCAGTCTGGGGAAGGCTGTTTTAAATTAAGTACACTGAACCAAGTAAGACCGAATCCCGTTTTCTAGCATTTTCTGTGATGGTCTAGCATAGAGAGATGATCCTCTGAAAATATTATTACTACTACTACTACTACTACTACTAATAATAATATTGGGAAGTCTGATCTGGCCATGGTGGTCCATGCTCTTGTTACATCCCGAATAGATTACTGCAACATGCCCTACATTGGGCTGCCTTTGAAGACTGTTCGGAAACTTCAACTAGTCCAGTGGGCGGCAGCTAGACTACTCACGGGAGCGTCATACAGGGAGCGTTCCACTGGCTGCTGATCCAGTTCCAAGCACAATTCAAAGTGCTGGTCTTGACCTATAAAACCCTATACAGTTCCGGCCTGGCGTACCTGTCCGAACATATCTCCCTCTGCGTCCCACCTAGGAGTTTAAGATCTTCTGGAGAGGCCCTGCTCTTGGTCCCGCTCCTGTCACAAACACGGTTGGCGGGGACAAGGGACAGGGCCTTCTCGGTAGTGGCCCCCCGCCTGTGGAATTCGCTCCCTGGGGAAATTAGGTCATCTTCATCCCTCCTCTCTTTTAGAAAGAAATTAAAAACCTGGTTGTGGGACCAGGCCTTTGGGTAATCTTGCAGACTTGATGATGATAATGACGACAATTGCTATGGAAATGGTTTATGGACAAGCTTAATGGAGACTACAGTTACAGAACTCGACGGGACAACGGCCACTAGACTGGCTCCCTTTTTAAATATACTTTATTGTATTAATTTGATGTTTTAACTATTTATAGTTACGGATTTTGATGTGTATTTTATTGTATTTTATGTGTAGGCATCAAATATGTGCCGGTTGGAAGCCGCCCTGAGTCCCCCCCAGGGGGTTGAGAAGGGCGGGGTACAAATACCCGAAAGATAGATAAATAAATAATGTCCATCATTCATAAGGAAAAACATTTTGCTACACTGAAGATTTCACACCCTGGTTTCATTCAAAGATATAGAAAGATTTATTCCTGTTTTCTACAGGGGGGAAAATCAACCACGTCAAAGCAGTTTTTTTCAGACTTACTGGAAATTGGGACTTAGGACTTGCTAATGCTTTATTTAAAAATCATCAAGTCTTCGTTCCCACACTGAAAAAGGTGTTAATCTCAAATCTTGCACAATTTAACTAAATCAATTTCTTTTAAAAGATTTATTTCCCAACTGGATTTTCTTCCACATTCACAAAAAGAGAAAATAAATATGTCAAGTAAGATGCTTTAGTGAAGAAAATATGTTTGTGTTGACTTAAAACCGACTCAACAGATGGTTTTAGTATTTTGTTCCAACTGAAACACACAGTAGAAACTAATTATAAATAAATCATACTAACCAGATGAATGGCAGACTGGCAAAATAAGGGGCAGAGAAAATACAGCCTGTGGGCTACATGTGGCCACCAGGGCGGTTTTGCAGACCAAAAATGCCTGCTAGGGAATGGTAGGGCGGGGGAAGAAATTAATTACATTTTTGCTCCTAGGGCTATTTTGGAACAAGGAGCATTTTTTCCCCAACATGAAGCAATCAACAAGTAGGATTCAAGATCAAGGCCTTTTCTGGGTTCTGATTGGTCCAGAAGACCCCACCCCCCACCATGATGAAAAAACATGGGGGGATTTCCCCCCAAAAAAACAAGGATGGCAGGAGGCAGCCCTCTTAAATGTCCGGAGAGCCAATGTGAACCCCTATCCCTGTAGAGGCAATGATATTGGTGAGAAAAAAAAATATATTAAGTACACTAAAACATTTCAGTAAGCCCAGCTTTTTACTGAGTATTCATTCCCACAATCCACCCCACATTAATTTGCAATAATATATGTACTCTGCAATCACAATCACAAGGTAGTATTAAAAAGGGGTTGGTTGTACTGAATACTATATGATCAACTACAGCTAAGAGTAAGTGTTCATTGCAGTGCTGACAGGACTTATTGCTGCTGTTGTTTTTATTTAGAAGAAGTTGCTTCCGAGCGTGTGGTTAAGAATGGAGAAGGGATTAACAAGAGGCACACAGCCACTTCCTCGTATTTCTGTGTCTACTAAGAATGCTTAGAAAGCATTTTCCTCCCTGTAAGTCTTAAAGTTAATGTTTGTCTTCAAGGGCATTAGAAACTCTGATGTAGAAGTCTCTGTAATGAGGTCTTTAATGTACTTTTCTTGAAAAGTTGCCTTCACTGAGCTTCAGATAAAGGGATCCCTCTCTGAAAGTTTTCCATTATTTTGTCCCAGCCATTAATCAAAATGAGACTGCAGTCAAGGAATCAGAAGACTAGGAGTTGCACGGACAACTATGAAGGAATTAGATTAATTGCTCAAGTGTAAAGGCATATACCATATATACTTGAGTATAAGCCAAGTTTGTCAGCTCTTTTTTAGGCTGAAAAAGCTCCCCCTGGCTTATAATTGAGTGAGGGTCCTGGTGGGAAGGCATGAGGCTGAAAAAAGCCCTTTTCAGTCCAATGCCTTCTCACCAGGACCCTCACCTCTCCACATAACAACCCAGCTGGGTCGAGAGAGGAGGAGAGGAAGGCAAGTGGCCTCTCCTCCCCTCTTGGCCCCAAGCTTTCCTCCACCTGGCTGTGATTTTAACTCTCTTTCGGCCGTGATCCTTATTCTCCCTGCTTCTTTCTGTTTTGCAGACAGACGCACGTGAATACACACCCATCGCCACGTTGAAAAGGCAAGGAGGGAGCAAACCAGGAGTGTGGACCTGGTCACCAAAGTGGGAGAGAAAGAGACACATCGCTGCCACCGCCCTTTTCCTTTGCAAAGGCGACAGCTCCTCAGAAGTGGGGTCTCCCCCATTGACTCCGGAGCACCATGTATGGAGTGTTGTTGGTTAAAGGGGAGAAAGACGGAAGGAATGGAGGAAGGAAGGAATGGAGGAAGGAAGGAAGGAAAAGAGAGGGAGGGATGGAGAAAAGGGAGGAAGGGGGGAAAGGACATGGGAGAGGAGTTAGGGGGAAAGGAAAGTTGGTAAAGAAAGAATAGAAGAGAAGGAAAGGAAAGAAAGGAAAAAAGAAGGGAAAGAACAGCTGGGTCGCTGGCCGAGAGAGGAGAGAATGCGCACCTTCCTCTCCTCCTCTTGTGCATCTTCTCAGCCTCTTCTCCCTGCCCCCTTCTGCATCCCAGTCTTACTCATTTTGCAATCTTTCTTTCCCCATCCCAATATTTTCCAGATGCCCCTTTCCCACCCCAATTTCCCCAGCTTTTTCCAATTGCCCCTTTACACTCTAGACTGGGGGTCTTTCCCACTTTTCAGCCCCTCTTTCCATACGAATCTTTCCCAGTCTCCAGCCCCCCTTTCACACCTTGGTCATTCCCCTTCCTCATTTACCCCCTTCCCAAGCCAGTCTTTTTAATGTTTCCTTATTCATATACACACAGCATTTCCCCAAAAATGTACAGTTAAAATAAACTGGTGATTATTGGAAGGATACGTAAGCACATTTACACTGAAGATTAAATCATGATTTAATCAGAGTTGGACACTCTTATCTTAAATTACAGTTTTATGTAAAACATTTAACCTGCTGAAGCTTCAATTAATGTGATTTTATTGATATCTATTTTTTTTGAAATTTACAAATAGCTGCTGCATTTTCCACCCTCAGCTTATACTCGAGTCAACAAGTTTCCAGGTTTTTGTGGTAAAATTAGGTGCCTCGGCTTATATTTGAGTCTATATGGTAACTGAATACCAAAGTTAGAACTGTTCATGTCATCAGAAGTTATTCCATTCTTTATATAACTGTCAAGAAATATCATCTAAAAAGTGGATGATTACTTAAATAACTAGAACCTATCAAAGACTGCAAAATACGAACGATCCGATAATGGTGAGGTAGATCTGTGATATGATTAATAAAACTAAAATAGGAAAGGCCAGATGGTTTGCCAGCCCTTTAGTCTAAGTGCTTCAGCAAGGAGCAACTATTACCTTTGCAACCAAGAATGAATACTATTTTGCAGGGAAGATTCCTGACAGTTGTAAAATGACAAATACAACATTTCTACCAAGATCGACAATAACAAAAAAAATGTTGACCAACATGTTTATTGAACAATAACTATCCATCATGATTTCAGCTGAAAGATTAGAAGTAATTTTATAGGACTTTATTCAAGATCAGTGTGATGCCAATAAAAATGTGCTGGTTACTTTGATATATCTATAACAACACCGTGACAAGCAAGTTGCATTAATTTTCCAAGATGCAGAAAAGACTTTTGAGAACTTGAATTGGATTTTCCTGTTTAGAATTTTGGAAGAAATGAACTTTGAAGATGATTTTATTAAATTAATGTATATTTCACAGAAAACTTGCAAATGGAGAATTAACAAAATCTTGCCAGTAAATATTGTACAAAAAAACATTTTATTGTGTGTATCATGAGCAAGAAAACTGTATACACTTACAAATTTATGGCTTTTTGGTTTGTGTAAGATATCATCTCGTACAGCACTATCTGCCAGTCTTGCCACATCTTCCAGAAACCTATAATCTGAAATTAATACATAAAAAGAGCAGTTTGAGTTAAAAAAAAATGACTATGAGTTTAAAAGAACCTTAAAACTGGCTTTCACATCTTTAACGTTAATATCAGGGATGGAATTACCATGTTATTTTGCATGCATAACTAAGCAAGAGAATCAAAGTCTTGCAAATTTGCATTGCTTGCTTACTACACTTTTTATGGTTTGGATGGGTTATCTTTTAACTACCGTATTTCCTCAAATCTAATGCTCATCTTTTTTTGCTAAATGATCTTGCCAAAATTAGGGTGCGCAATAGATTTGCATCATGCAGTAATGCTAATGCTGGGTCAAATAATTTCTACTATCTAGTACATTATAGTACAGACACACAAAGTGTACATGTAAGTTATGGTATGTCACAAAATATCTGTCTGAAGCAGAAAGGGAGGATACAGGCAGCAAAAAAGAAATCTGCTAAATGTCAATGTTAATATATTTCTAGCTGCTCACAACTCTAAATCAGTTCCAAGGTGACTTTTTAAAGGGGATATGGAGCAACTATGGTGGCACAGCAGGTTAAACTGCTGAGCTGCTGAACTTGCTGACTGAAAGGTCAGCAGTTCAAATCTGGGAAGCAGGGTGAGCTCCTGCTGTTAGCCCCAGCTTCTGCCAGCCTAGCAGTTCAAAAAGATGCAAATGTGAATAGATCAATTGGTACTGTTCTGTGGGAAGGTAATAGCGCTCCATGCAGTCATGCTGGCCACATGACTTTGGAGGTGTCTATGGACAGCACCGGCTTTTCGGGTTAGAAATGGAGATAAGCACCATCCCCCTGAGTTGGACACAGCTAAACTTAATGTCAGGGGAAACCTTTACCTTTTTATGGAGCAAAAATATCAATCCTTTCTTTCTTCTCAAACATCTCTAAAGCAACCTTCAAACTTTTATAAATTTTGTGCTATTTAACAGCTGTGTGATCATGTAATTGCTGCTGCTGACCATTCTTAGGCTACATTCCTAGCCACTATTACTGGAGAGGAAACCTTGCAGAGCTGAAGGTGACATAAGCTGAATTAAACATAACTAGAATTGCACTGTTAGTGTATTGCCAACCCACTGGTGGCATTGTACTGACCATTTCGGTCACAATTCTAAAATGGAGGTCATTGTCTACCTACCTTCTGTAATCACTTACTCAATAGTTTGTTGAGTTTTCAGAATAGATTGAGATTTTCAGAAACACACTTACCACTTAAAAGATTTAAGTCACTGAACTCATTCACAGAAACGAAAGCCGTTTTTTCTCTGACTCCATTACAGCTGAATGTAGTTTTATGCTTTTTCACACAAGTCAAACTGAAAGCAGACAAAGCAAATAAATAAATAAAAATATTTGATTTGCAATCTGCTCTTAATGGCCAGGTAGAAGAATACAGCAACAAATACCTCCATATTTACCTGCATGAATATTTCATACAACGTGGGCACCGATATTTTGCTTCTTCTGTGTCACACATTTCACACCTTAAAAGAGAAAACAAGAAAAACAAAACATGGTTACATTTAAGAAACATGGCTGTGCTTTAAATTAAAATAAAACTTTAAGAAAAGAACCCCTGAAAATTTGGAACATAGCTTTATTTGTTAAGAAAAACTACTCAGAACATTTCCTATTGAACTGGGACTGTGGCACAGATGGCTGGAAGTCAGCTGCATTAAAATCACTACTGACAGAAAAGTCATGAGTTTGAAGCCAGCCCGGGTCGGAGTAAGCTTCTGACCATTGTGTAGCTTGCTGTCGAACTTTGCAGCCTGAAAGACAGTTGCATTTGTCAAGTAGGAAATTTAGGTACCGCTTATGTGGGGAAGCTATTTTAACTAATTTATGACATCATAAAATTTCCAGCAAGCAAGCAAAGAATGGGGAAGTACTCCATCAGTGTCACAAATGAATGGTGAAGCGACAGCTCCCCTGGTGGCCAGAATACCCTCATGAAAGCTGATGGCATAACAAGATAGAAGAATTCACACACTTTTTAGAAAATGCATTTTATCAGAGCACATACATTTGTACTCCCAAGAAACACAAGATGTCTGTTTGCATATAATTCTGTCATATAATTTATTTATGTACTTATCAGAGCACGATGACCTTATTTACATGTCACCTCAATTCTGAATTTAATTGCTGTACATTTTGTCATCTCAAAGCTCCAAATGTCATAGTGTTTTTTGCTTTAGAGGTATTTTTTGCTTGTAGAGGTGCAGTTTGAGTCTAGGTCAAAGTGACCCAGGCTAAGTTTACTGTAGTAAACTCTGGGAAACTATTTAGAGACCATGAAGGGAAAAACAGAGGACCGATAATTCTATTTATTTTAAAAGATTGCAGCTATTTTCTCAACAAACACCTATGCCTTCCAAAGCTGCCTTACTTAATAGTAAAGTTAATTACCAAGAAAAACGAATTGAGCGACTGTTGTCTTGGTTTTCATACATTTGTATAGTGGACTTCCAATGGAAAGCAAACACATATAAGGATCATACTGTTTTGACAGAGCAATAAGAACATCTGACACCTGTTTTCTATTGACAACACTCCCAGAATAACAATAGGGCATACCTGTTAAAACTGATAATAACTTGAAGGAAAGAACTTTTTAAAACACATTTCCAAACTGATTTATAGTTAAGATTCAAATATTGTACCCTACAATTGATGATTGGGAAGGGTGGGGGGATTTCAGAGCATTTTTGCTACACCACTTTGCGGACTATGTTGAATCATTTACAAACTGCAATGAATTGGATCTGTACTTAAGTTACATGTGAGAGCTAGTAAACTCAGTGGGATAAATCACACTTAAGTGAGGCTTAGCTTAGTTCTCCCAAACATATGGAGAAGCAGATGATTAAGCTAAGTTTCTAAGGTTTCTAAGGCTTTTAAGCAACGTGGCTTAAATAATGAATAAGAATATGGCTTTTAACACTATAGGCACTGTTTAGTGTGGTATTGTGTCTTATTGATTATTATGATTTTTGATTATCGAATGTGCCTGGGTTTTAAATGCTGTTTATTAAGTTATGTCTGTCTGTACGTACTTGCTGGCATTGAATATTTGCCTCTCATGTTGTCAGCCACTCAGAGTCCCATATTGGGGTAGGATAACAATAAATTATTATTATTATTATTATTATTATTATTATTATTACTACTACTACTACTACTACTACTTTACTGATACAAAAACACAGTATGTCACAGCAAAAAAGATCTATATGCTTGATGACCACTGGGACCACCTGCACTAGTTTATGCCAGAGTCTTTGCAGTTCGATTTTGAGGTCCTGATAACGGCCGGGTTTTTCTGTTGTTTTTCCTCAATGCGACTGTCATTCGGTATGGCAACATCAAAAATCCACACTTTTTTCTTTTCCACAATCGTGATGTCTGGCGTATTGTGTTCCAAAACTTTGTCAGTCTGGATTCGAAAGTCCCACAGTATTTTTGCGTGTTCATTTTCTACTGCCTCTGCAGGTTCATGATCCCACCAGTTCTTTACTACTGGCAGGTGGTACTTGTGACATAAGTTCCAATGAATCATTTGGGCCACCGAGTTGTGCCTCTGTTTGTAGTCCGTCTGTGCAATTTTCTTGCAGGAGCTGAGGATATGATGATGATGATTATTATTATCTCTCCCTATGAACCACCCCGGATACTAAGATCTTCTGGGGAGGCCCTGCTCTCAGTCCCACCTCCTTCGCAGGTGTGGTTGTTAGGATGAGGGACAGGGCCTTCTCAGTGGTGGCCCTTGGCTGTGGAGTTCCCTTCTCAGTGAAACTAGCTAGGCTCTCTCTCCTCTGACCTTTAGAAAGAAACTTAAAACCTGATCATGGAACCAAGTGTTTGGAGAGTAGTATACTGCAAAAGGCAGTTATGAAGTGATTGTAACACAATGGGAATGGCTCCTGGATTATGATTTCAGGTCTTTGTGTTGTTTTAACAGTTATTTAAATGCATTGATGTTATGATTCTTATGATTTTTCACTGATTTTAATGAGCCTCTGGTGGCACAAGGGGTTAAACCTTTGCGCTGGCAGGACTGAAGACCAACAAGTCAGAGGTTCGAATCCTGGGAGAGCACAGATGAGCTCCCTCTGTCAGCTCCAGCTGCCCATACAGGGACATGAGAGAAGCCTCCCACAAGGATGTTAAAACATTTAGAATCACAGAGTTGGAAGAGACCTTATTTATTTATTTGAAACATTTAGATTCTACCTTTCGCACCCCGAAGGGGACTCAGGGCGGAGCACAGCATATATATGGCAAACATTCAATGCTGGGACACAAATTCACATACAATACATAAAAATTAAAAAACATTTATCAAAATATTAAAAAATACCATTTAAAACCATCCTAGCCATCCACATCAAATCCAATTGGCCCTGTCATCTTTCCCACTGCTGCATCAAAACATCCCCTGGGCAATGTCCTTGCATATGACCAATTCTCTTACACCAGAAGTGACTTGCAGTTTCTCAAGTCACTCCTGCCATGGGGGAAAAAAACATCCTGATTTGAATGTATAATGTATATTGTATTTGTATGTTTATGTTTATTGTGGTATTTGGAAGCTGCTCTGAGTTCCCTTCAGGGTTGCGGTAGAGTGACGTAAAAATACAGCAAATAAATAAAATATTATAGCCATTTAAAATATACAAATATACAAACATTGAAACAGGATCACATATAAATAATATTTAAAAAAAATCATTAAAACCAATCAAAGTTGCACATTCACACATATATATATTATGTGCTGAGAGTTGGAGGAGTAAACAAACCACAAAACGATATAATACGGCTGAAAAACAAAACAGATAAAACGCAACACAAATAAACAATACAATACAAACTGCTATTAAACACTGATGGCCTTCAATTATAATTTGGATCTATAACGACAATTTGGATGACTTTCAATGATCATGACAATTAGGATACAACGGGCATGGGCAAACCTCGGCCCTCCCTCCAGGTGTTTTGGACTACAACTCCCACAATTCCTAATAGCCCACCGGCTGTTAGGAATTGTGGGAGTTGTAGTCCAAAACACCTGGAGGGAGGGCCGAGGTTTGCCCATGCCTGGGATACCTAATGATAATGAGGAACCAATGAGTGCATCTACTCTGCATCTACTCTGCCTCAATGCTATGGAGTCCCGGGAGCTGTAGTTTGGGGAGGCCTTTAGTGGCAGAAGAGGCTAAACTACACATCCCAGAATCCCACTGCACTGAGCCCTGGCATGCCTTCTCCCTGAGGGCTGCCCCACACGTGGAGGCCTGGCTTCGGCCTGAGGAGCCTCCTCTCCCACCCAAGGCGAAGGGGAGCCCTCTTTCTTGAGGCCTGGGGCGGAAGGGGAGCCCCACGCCTCTCCTCAAGGGGGGATGGAGCCGGAAGGGCCTTCCTTACCTCCGCAGCGACATCTTCCGCCCGCTGCTCGTGTTGGGAGCCGCCATCGTTGCCTCGCCTCTTCTCTCCTCTTCCTTTGAAGCCTAGCGAGGCCCCTCGGCCTTGAGTGGCGCCGCCGGGAGAGGAGACACCACCCCCTGGCGGCACCCGGAGGAAGAGGCCTCGACCCAAACACGCCGCTCTCCAAAGATGCATAGAATCAAAGAGCTCGAAGAGACCTCATGGGCCATCCAGTCCAACCCCCTGCCAAGAAGCAGGAAAATTGCATTCTAAACACTCCCGACAGATGGCCATCCAGCCTCTGTTTAAAAGCCTCCAAAGAAGGAGCTTCCACCATCACTCCAGGGCAGAGAGTTCCACTGCTGAACGGCTCTCACAGTCAGAAAGTTCTTCCTAATGTTCACATGGAATCTCCTTTCTTGTCCTTTGAAACCATTGTTCCGCGTCCTAGTCTCCAGGGCAGCAGAAAACAAGCTTGCTCCCTCCTCCCTATGACTTCCTCTCACATATTTATACATGGCTATCATATCTCCTCTCAGCCTTCTCTTCTTCAGGCTAAACATGCCTAGCTCTTTAAGCCACTCCTCATAGGGCTTGTTCCACCACGAGATGCAGAGCCAACTTTAAGAAATGGGGTTACAAAGTGGAATCCATGACATGCGAGTGTGGAGAGGAGCAAACCACTGACCACCAGCTGCAATGCAACCTGAGCCCTGCCACATGCACAATGGAGGACCTTCTTGCGGCAACACCAGAGGCATTCCAAGTGGCCAGATACTGGTCAAAGGACATTTAATCAACTACTAAACTTGCAAACTTTGTGTTTTGTTTGTTTGTTTGTTAAAAAATGCAATGCACCTGTTTGGTCAGCTCCTGACACGATAAATGAATAAATAGGGCTTGTTCTCCAGACCCTTGATCATTTTAGTCACCCTCCTCTGGACACATTCCGGCTTGTCAATATCTCTCTTGAATTGTGGTGCCCAGAATTGGACACAATATTCCAGGTGTGGTCTGACCAAGGCAGGTAGCATGACTTCCCTGGATCTAGATACTAGACTCCTATTCATGCAGACCAAAATCCCATTGGCCTTTTTTGCCACCGCATCACATTGTTGGCTCATGTTTAACTTTTTGTCCACGAGGACTCCAAGATCTTTTTCACATGTACTGCTCTCAAGCCAGGCATTGTCACCCATTCTGTATCTTTGCATTTCATTTTTTTCTGCCTAAAGGTGGTCTGTAGTTCGCTCTTCTCCACACTCGCATGTTGTGGACTCCACTTCGTAGCCCCATTTCTTAAGGTTGGCTCTGCATCTCGTGGTGCCAGAGCACAGACTGCCCAGCGCCTTCCAAGTTGCCCAGTCTTTTGTGTGCCCAGGAGGGAGTTTCTCATCTGGTATAAGCCATGGCTTGAGGTTCTGGGTTTTAGCCTGCCACTTTTGGACTCTTGCTTGCTGAGGTGTTCCTGCGAGTAGCTCTGTAGAACTTAGAAAACTATTTCTTGATTTAAGGTGTTGGCATGCTGGGTGATAGTATGTTAGCTGGGTCCAGAAGCTCCGACCCTTACGGAGATGCCGCAAAGGCGGCTGTAAATAAGGGAAGAGAGGGGGCGGAGTGAGAGCGGGGAGAGTGAAACAAGGGTAGAAAGGAGGGAATGCTTAGGGTACGTGTTAGGGCAAGGTTTAGGGTTTGGGTTAGGGTTACGGTTAGGGTACGGTTTAGGGCAGTGATGGGCAACCTTTTTGAGCTGGGTGTGTCAAAATTCCCCAAAAACCCAAGCAAAACTTGGGTGGGGTGTCACTTCGAGAGAAAAAAACACACCAAAATTTTGCAATATTTATAGTTTAAATAAGAAAAATTATATAATCCATGCTGAGTTATGGAGTGAACAATGCTCAAATGTGCAGATGTTAAATTTGTAGAGCCTTTTACAAATTTAAGGATGGAATTAGATTGGCTCTTATAAGGTGTACTTCTCTGTATGTGGCTGCATGTGTCTGCGTGTCATCAAAAATAGCCATGCGTGTCAGTGCTGACACGCATGTCATAGGTTCACCATCATGGGTTTAGGGCTAGGGTTTGGGTTAGGGTTTGACTATTAAAGAACTCTTACATTCCTTCTATATTATCTCTCTCTGGCCTGGCTAACATTAGCTAAGTCTCTCTTGTGCAAACAACGCTCCCAAAGGAGAGCTGTGGCCTTTCCATAATGTTCAGAGCTTCCGGACCCAGCTAGCATACTATTACCACATGCTGGCTGAGGATGGGCCAGAGATGTCACTGCCTTGGTCCTTTCATTATTGGCTGCTACTTCCTGGCAGATGTCAGGTGGTGTGATACCAGCTAATCAGTGTAATTTTTCCAGTGGTGTATGGCGCAGACATCCTGTGATAATGCAGCATCCACTGTTTTACCGTGGTGAGATGTGTTTCACACTGGGCATGCATACTCAGCTGCAGAGTAGCAAAACACAAGGGCAGATGTCTTCACTGGTTCTGCCTGTGATCCTCAGGTTGTGCCAGTCAGTTTTCGTATGATATTGTTTTTAGCGCCCACTTTTTGCTTCATATTTAAGCAATGCTTCCCTCCAAGCTGACCGTGGCACTTGCTGATGCTTATTGCCTCCAAGGGCATCCCTACTGGTTTGGATTCCAACTCCCAGAGGCCCCCAAGTCGAAAAACACACGGACTATCAGTGTTTGGGAAAGGCTGCAGTTTGACACCAACAGGCCCATAGCCAGACAAAACATTCAGAAGGGATTGAAACTTTCCCTCCCAAGATGACTTTTCAGGCCAGTGCCTCATGATCTGGCATGAGATCTCAACAAGGCCCTGAAATTAACATTATTATACAAAGTCAGTTCTTTGGAGTGTTGTCTGTGCTGACATCCTCTCTGGCCATTGAGAATAAAGCCTCTGATTTTGCTTCAGCCTGTCTGTCTTATCAGGTCCTTTGGAGGCTTGGCACTCCGGGCCCCGAACCCATGGTGCTCAGATTTGTTTTATTAATAAAATGCAAAGTATGAAAGCTGGCAGCCCAGAAATCTTCATAACAGAGTTTATTTTCTAATTACAAATTCAGTGAGACTAAAAACCTCATCCCATGCATTTTTACTCCATTACTCAAGGAACACACAATAGTTTGAATATAATAGAGACATGAGATTCAGAATCTGAGAGGGGAAGAAGTGAAATAAAACCCACATATTTGGCTCATACTGGAAACGAAGCACTTGCACTCAATGAACCATTGATATGGCAACTAATCATAGAACACACATTTTTGTGCTTCACATCCATTTGGCCACAATATTTGCAACCGTCTCTTTTCTTTCATGTCTACATTTGTACAGCAAGTGAAATATAATGCATGGAAATTGTATGAACCCAAACTCTGTAGCCCCTGCAAAGACATTCAAATACCACAAGCTTCTGTTCTTCCTGTAATAAAACAATACAATTGCTACTCTTTTTCCAGCTGTTTCATATTCTCTGAGAACACAACTTTCCACTGTGATCATACTGAAGCAATCCCATCTAGGCACTGACTTTTTCTCCTGTCACAATCACAAATATTTGGTCAGTACTTCTTTTTCTTTCAGCCAATGGTTTTCTTGAGACCTAACAAATCAAGATTTAATTGAATGCTTGGATTTAATAATTTCTGGAATAAAAGATAACATAACTATGCGTGCTTTAAGGGTTCAACTACCGATTGTGTAACCCACACACTTTCATGAAGTTTTGAAGATTTCAAAGCTGGAGTGGGAGGCCTGGACTCATGCTGCCTTACGATTGATTACATTAATTTCAAAGAAGGAAGAGCAAAGCCAAAGGGCATAAATATAGTGCCGGTCCCTGATACATTGTGTATGCGCGGGTGTGTGTGTGTGTGTGTTAATAATTGCTTGTTTTGGGCACTGGTGGTGCAGTGGGTTAAAGTGCTGAGCTGCTGAACTTGCTGACTGAAAGGTCACATGTTCGAATCCAGGGAGCAGCATGAGTTCCCGCTGTTAGCCCCAGCTTCTGCCAACCTAGCAGTTCAAAAACATGCAAATGTGAATAGATCAATAGGTACTGCTCCAACAGAAAGGTAACAGCACGCCATGAAGTCATGCTAGCCATATGACCTTGGAAGTGTCTATAGACAACGCTGGCTCTTCAGCTTAGAAATGGAGATGAGCACCACCCCCCAGGGTCAGACATGACTGGACTTAATGTCAGGGGAAACCCTTTACCTTTACTTTTGGGCAAAGGATAGCCTGAGAAGAATTGCTGTAAAGGGCTGAAAGAACTAAATGAGAAACCACAATCTATAATGCAACAAGTGCAAATAGTACAATATCCAAATTATGATCTTTTGATGGAAAAAGTGTTCACCATGAACAAATATTGGACTTTGTTTTTCTGCTGGATTTTTTTTAACAGGATCATCTTTCAATGTGAAGCATCCTTTGCACCTTTGGGTGTCGTCAAGTCATTTCTGACTCATGACAACCATAAGGTGAACTTATCATAGGATTTTCTTGCAGTATTTGTCCTGAGCGGGTTTGCCTTGGCTTCTTCTGAGGCGAAGAGTGTGATTCAAAACCTGATCTCCCCGTGGGTTAGTCTGAGACTGAATCCAGTACACTACACTCACTTGCTGAAATTATACTTGTGAATCTCACAGATGTTAGAAGGACACCCCATATAAGTCTATCATAGCCTTTTCTAGCATGGTGTCCTCCAGGAAATTCTAGGAGGAATCAAAACAGTGAGAAGGAAGAGAATGAGGCAAATTGATCTACCATAGTGCAGGACACCATAATCTACTACAAAAGAATAAAAAATATTTCCAAAACAAATAACCTAATTACATTATTTCATCACAGACTAAACAATTACGTCATAAAATATGTACTGTAAACATATAATAAAGTTAAATCCTGAGCACAAAACGAAATAAGATAAGGTTTGCCAAAATTAGGACCCTGGCTCTTTCTGATCTTTGTTTTCATTATGTTTAAATAACACACTTTGTGCCACAGCCCTGAATAAAGAATAAAGAAGCCTTTATTGAACATAGTTGGGTGTCTTTCTAAGCAAATATGTAAAGGATTG